TTGAGGTAAACTGTTGCCTCTGCCCAGCAGCCATTTCATTACAGGGTGTAAAGGCAAATTAAAGTAAGTCATAGATGAAGGACTCCAACCAAAAAGCGAGTCCCATGAAGAATGATGACCCGTATCTTTTATTTCTGTCAAGGATCTCCTTGCCATTATGGGACACAACTATGGAAGCTGTGTCTCCGGCTCTTTTTTTTCTTCTTTTTTTCCAACAATTTTTTTTAATTTTTAAAACACTAATTCATACAAATTATTACCATATCAACAAAAAACATTTTCCTTCTTGCTTTAACAATAAAATAACAAGCTGAATGAGTTACATTGTTTTGCTTTACAACATATCTTATATTTGTCTTATACCTGAATACTATAATTTGGGTACTGTGTAAATAATTGTAACCTCTTATATGATAGAGAAGCCAGCCTTATACAATCCTTCAATAATCTAAGCAACGTACCACTAAACAATATGCTTAAGAGAAGAGTAAACTTTCGCAAAAATGAAGAAGATAGACAAAGACAAGAACAAGAGTCTATGAAATTGACGAACTATTGTTGTTATATCCATTTGTGATATTGAGACCATTCGGGTGAAATGAACTCTTTGAGAGACAAATAATCAAGTATTGGGAACCATTTTTCTGTAAAATTAGATTTTGTGGGATTATGCGACATATAATTTAAATTGTCGGTGACTGCATCCATTAAATAGTGACTCCATAATTTTTTGTACCATACTTCCAAGTCCATTCCAAAGAAAATAGGTGCTACATCCTTATATATAGCCGGGGACACTAGGATACCTTCCTGGGTCCAAATGGGAATCAAATATTGAAAATCACATCCTACTATGGTAGTTAAATTGCAGAAGCATCTATTAATTCCAGGGAGCATGAGTTGGATTTGGAAAGAGTTTAGGACAATAAAGTCACAGTGGATCCGAATACATGCACAACCCCTTCCTACATACACAACAGCAAAGCCATTTTCCTTGGCTAGATTGTACTGGCATTGATTAGACAAATCCAATTGGGGAGTCAAACACAGGTGGTGTGACTCAAAAGCATGTTCTTCACAAATGAATCCCACATTCTCCCTGTGTGTACATCCTTGGGTGTTTACTAGTTCCCACTGGGACTGGACTATCCTAGCTCAGTGGTCAGGGTGCTTCTGAAGGTCCTACCTGTAGGCCTAAAGGCACCACAGGAAAAATGTGAAATGATCCTTTGGCATTTGCAGTTAATAAAAACAGGCAAAGATCCTGAGTGCTTGCCTTGAATGAAGTGTTGACTAAGGACCACGAGGATTCCAGTTCTACCTCTGTGGGGGACAATTTGGGGGTGATCAATTTCTTGATCTCCAAGGGCAGATGTCCTCCTGCAGCTTGCTGAATTATGCCCATGCCCATGGCTTGGTTTAAATTTTGGGTCTGGTCACATGCCATTGCAATTGAAGTGGTTCTTTGTAGTGATTGAGTACCTCTGAGAAGGAGGGCAAAGTCTTTTTCAATCTGACTTTCCCAATTAACTAAGATTGATCTGATGGAACGTTCGACATTTGAAACAGAATTTAGATACTGTGTGATGGGTTTGCTTAACTCTGAAATGCTGGATGTGGCATATGAAAATTTATTGGCTAGTGTCTCAATGTTTGCAGAGTCTAGGAGGGCCATGCCACCTGCTACAGGTGCCAACCAGTCTACAGTATCTCTCTTCCTCCTGGTCTTGGTAGGCAGAGAGTCTGTCCGCAAGTGCAGCCGGGCTCCCCAGCCTCTATTACTTGGTTCCACATTGTGGTAGGCAGTGAGTGGTGTTTAAGCCCGAGAGGCTGACACGGAACTCCTTGAGTGACATTTGGCGCTGAATTAGGACCTTTTATCTGATATCGGTTTTTGTGGGAGCCAATTATGTGAGAACCTGTCTTGGCCAGATTCTCATGATCCATGATCAGTGGATTGAAGACCAAAGAGGTTTACTCACTGGCCTGTATATCTATGGAGTAATTGCTGACTTAATGGGTAAGTTCCAGAGTCAGGGTGTCCATTGTATGAAACTTTATTACTAAGGGCCTGTCCTGGCATCTGGCACGGTTCTGAACCAGGATCCAGTCAGGTGGACCTTGTTTGGATAGGTCCTTCTGTTATAATGTATGTGGTTTTGGCCCAATTGTTTACTGTGTGTAGGTGAGTAATTCCTGAAGGAGTGGTCAATGCAATACTTGCTGTTTCTGATTCGTGGGAACCAATTATTATAACCAATTTCAGGGGGTCCCCTGCCTTCCATACTGCGGCCAACAACAGTATGATTTCGCAGTATGGCCCTGGTGCCTCAGTAACAATGGTAGAGGTTAGGGTGATGGCTGAGGATGTGGCATTTGTGACTGGTCTAATTGGTTGTTCTGTACTTGGGCATATATTTGCAAGGGATGGGCAACAGTGGGGTGACCACACCCAAATGTTCTTGAGTAAATGTTTTGGTTTCCACACACAAAACGACCAAATCAGGGGGGGGCGACTCATTGCTCCTCGCAGCTGAAGATCTCATAGCTATATTTGGGAGCAGCAGGGCTATTTTCTTGATAATAGAACTGGATTACTTTGCATATCATTATTTCATGCTTGGCTAATGTTTTGGCACATCGCCAGTGTGCAGAGGGAGCCACTTTGGGAGAGTCCCCATTTGCTGTTTGCATTTAAACATAAAAACCAGAAAAACAAAAACATTCTTACCCTCCTTTTCCTTTGTTATTTCCTGGGAGGAGGAGGTGTCTGTAAATAAAAATGTGTGTGTTTTTGTTTGTTCTGTGTGTGTTCCATGTACCTTACAGTCCAATCTGTATACATATATATATATATCTATAGGGTGAAGGGATATGTTGAGACTTGTGTCGGGTGGGTCATAAGAGCAAATTGACAATTGAATCAGGGTGCTCAACTAAAGGAGAACACATGGGAGGGACAGAAAAAGAATACTGACAAGAAGAAAACAAAAAAAAAATCTGTAACTTCGGTTCAGTGGGGGATTGAAAGCGGACCCTTCTCGTCTCGGGGCGAGAGCCTAGCCACTTGCTCTACAGCTCTCTCTTAGTGGGAACGAGGCTCGATAAGTATTAACTGTGGTTCATCCCTGACACTTCGGTAAATTTTGGCAAGGATTGGTAAGAGGTTAAAAGTTGAAACTAATTAGGGTACTTTCGGCAGGGGCTGGCGTCCCCAAATCAAGGCTGCTGCTCATACTGGGAATTGCATAGCCCTATGGATATGCAAATGAGTGTCTTTACTGAGATTCAGCAGGTGATTGCAGGTTCTGCCAGGTGAGTTTTCACCTGGGAGCTGTCGGGGAAGATGTTTAGGAGCACTGTCGAGGAAACACGGCACTAAAGGCAGACGGAACAGGCAAATCACTTGTAATTTAAAAAGGGTTTCTACATCTGACCTCCTTCATTTTTAGCCAATTGAATTTTAAAGAAGATTTTCTTGCTTTTCTCTCCCTTCAGGTACTGCTTGCCAGTTCTGTCTTCTTCAGTACTCTGCCTGCCCTTGATGAGTGCATCCAAACATCCATACTGGTTAAAGAATAGGGGGGAAATGGAAAAAATGAAAAAAAAGAAAAATAATAAAAATAATAGAAAAAATTATCTATAAAAATGATCTATCACTGCTTTTTGCTACTCTGCTTTGATCCCCCCCCTCTTCCCTTGCCTATGGGAAAGGGAAGAAAAACGAAGACAGGGAAAGGAAAACCTTATAAAGTAAATACCTGGATTTCAGTAAAGCCTTTGATAAGATTCCCCATGACATTCTGATGGGCAAACTGGAAATCTGTGGACTGGACTATAGGTCAGTTCAGTGGATAGGGAACTGGTTAGAGGACCGCACCCAAAGAGTGGTGAATGGCGTTTCATCAGATTGGAGGAAGGTATCCAGTGGAGTGCCGCAGGGCTCGGTTTTGGGTCCGGTACTTTTCAATATTTTTATCAATGATCTGGATGAAGGGGTAGAAGGGCTACTCATTAAATTTGCTGATGATACCAAATTGGGAGTAGTAGTAAACACCCAAGAAGATAGTTAAAATTCAACAAGACCTGAATACTTTGGAGAAATGGGCAGTTGTCAACAGGATGCAATTCAACAAAGATAAATGCACAGTATTACATCCGGGCCACAAAAATACTGGATGGGGGATACGTTTCTAGGGAGTAGTGTATGCGAAAGAGATCTTGAGGTAAGAGTGGACTGTAAACTAAATATGAGCAGTCAGTGTGATGCGGTGGCAAAAAAGGCTAATTCAGTCTTGGGTTGTATGAAAAGAGGCATAGCATCAAAATCGCAGGAGGTCACAGCCCCTCTGTATATTGCCTTGGTCAGGCCGCACCTTGAGTCCTGTGTGCAGTTCTGGAGGCCTCATTTTAAAAAGGATGTGGGCAAAATCGAGACGGTGCAGAAGAGAGCGACGAGGATGATCAGGGGACTGGAGATTAAGCCCTACGAAAAACTGGATATTACGAAAAACTTTTTCACAGTCAGAGTGGTTCAAAGGTGGAATCAGCTGCCTAGAGAGGTGGTTAGTTCCCTTTCACTGGCAGCTTTCAAGATGAGGCTGCATGAATAATTGTCAGAGATGCTCTAGGCTGATCCTGCATTGGGGAGGGGGTTGGACTAGATGGTCTGTATGGCCCCTTCCAATTCTATGATTCTATGAAAAGGCCAATTTACCCTATCCTTCTCTATGTACACCCCCCCCCCCCCCCCGCCCTCTGAACTGACTTGAGTTAGCTCTCAATGTTCTGGGCATCCTGGAATATCAGGATGTTGTGTCCACCTTTTCTTTTAGTTACTTCAAATTTTTTTGTATATCTAAAGTATGTAGAAAACCTAGCTACTGCAAGTGATCTGGTTTTGCTGCTTCTATGATTGGCGTGAGTCTTGTAAATGACTATCTGCTCAAGTCCAATTCTATCCAAGCCCAGACCATCCACTGCTAGCCAAGATGGGGGCATCTCAGAGAGGCATCATATTATTAACGTGTGAGTGTTAATGCCAAAATTCACTATGCCAAAATTTTGTGTTAACTGCGGCAGTAACCACAGTCCATCACAGTGGCAGCAGTAACCACAGTCCATCACAGTGACCTTTGACATGGGGGAAGAGCAGGGGTAGGGCAGTCTCTCCGAAAGCATTCTTCAACTTTTCATGAACAAGCCATTTCTCTGGTCAGTCCATCTATCACACAGGTGCCGGCTTCAGTTTCCCTAAAAAAGAGAGGGGGAAAGTGGGTGGAATGGATTGGACAACACTGAACACTCAGTGTATGTCTTCAGCATCTTCTGAAAGAAATGTCCACTTTAAGTTCATTGCTTGCATAACATGTCATCTCATACAACTTCCACTGTGAGACAATTCCAAAGTGAGACTATTATATTGAAAAGTACGCAGACAGATGAGTGATTTCAGTTAACGTACTTTTATTAGTGAAGAACAAGATAACCTCAGCCAGCTCGCAGGCCGGCTTATATTCCTCATAAAACCACCACCCAGAACACCCCCCCACATCTCAATAGGTTATTTACAGTGGCCGAGAGTTCCATAGGCTCTCGGCCGGGAACCTAGCCCTCGGATAGGTGCGGGCTAGGATCCGCTTAGTCCGAGCAAAGCTCGATGTTTTCTCTTGACCGTGTGGAGCCCAAGCCGGCCACGTGATCGGAAATGGATACATTACATAGGCCCTGTTCATACGAGACGTTTTAAGCCGGGAGAGGGACGGATCGGGGCCAGAGCAAACGGGCACGATTTCACAGCAACATCTGGGAATCGTGCTGCGCCCGTTCTCAGCCCATTCCCAATCCGCCCCTCCCAGCCAAAACCCGCATCAAAAAAGAACCACTTACCTAGGTAGTTCTTTGTGAAAGGCCGCATCCCTGCCGGCCGTGGGATCGCCGGCGCGTCTTTTCGCCGGCACATCTCCGGCCCCCGGCCGTACTGCGCATGCTCAAGCATGCGCAGTTCGGCAGCCTCCCCCTCCCATTCGTCTCTTCCTCCCCAGCATCTGATCATGCTGGGGAGCAACGGCGCTGCGGCTCAGGGGATCGTGGGATCCCGCCGCGGCATCTCTTTTTTGGTGCGGCTTTTAAAAGCCCCACTTCGCCCAGTGTTTTCCCTGCCGTGTGGCAGGGGCAATATATGTATAGAAATGGAAAGCTTTGATAATACTCACAGTAGAAGAATGGAAAAGAGCAAGAGTTCAGTAGCACCTTAAAGACTAACAAAATATGTGCTGGGGGGGGCAACAGTGGGAGGGCTTCAAATGTCCTGGCCCCACTGCTGGACCTCCTGATGGCCACTGTGTGACAGAGAGTTGGACTAGATGGGCCATTGGCCTGATCAAACATTGGCTTCTCTTATGTTCTTATGCTTTGTGGCAGGGTATTGTCAGAGCCCCTGGAGAAATCAGTTTCTGATAACAATAATTCAAAAGAAGTAAAGTTTATTGAGACATTGATAGGATCCAGATTCATAACGTACTTTGTTACGACTGAGGTCCCGAGTATGAAGCCAGCAATTATAGCATGATCAAAATATGTCAGTGACTCTTGGCCAACCACTTCGAAGCTAAAAGCCCACCAAACTAATGCTCTAAGATTCCCAGGGGAAATCCTCCACCAGAGAGAAAGGCTGGCCATCCAGGGCGATAATTCGTCCGATGTGCTGAGTGATCGCTTCATGAGCCCTGGCCCTCATCCTCTTTCCAACAAGCATGATCTCTGGAAGGGTGGTTTGCCTGGGGGAACCCATGGGGAAGGCCACAGACCCCACTGTGGTGGCCCACCACGCCTGGCCTCCCTCTCCCCATCAACTTGGAGTCTGCACCCCACGCTGGGCGACAGGCTCAGGGGGTCCACCCTCCGGCGGAGTCAACTTGGGGTACAAACAACGCAAGTGCCTCTGTAGAAGACTAGTGGTTAAGTGATGCAGATCTCTCCCCTGATGAACATGTACCCCATTTACCTGGCATTCCACCACACAGGGATCATTGGGTGGGATGTGGAAGTACTTCCATGCAGCCGTGCCCCCACGCCCATCAGCGGGCTTTTCAGGCATAACCGTTTCCCGGACTCAGACCCTGGACTGATGGGGGGCATACCGATGGTTGAGGGATAGGTGGGTGATCACAGCTAGGAATCCCAAGGCATGGAACAGGATGACACGCTTTGGCTATCATCACTGCAGTCTCCTCCCTCTCACGCATACTTTACCCCCATAGCCCACCTGGAACTAGGGGGTTTATATTGCTGGTACCTCATGTTACATTTTATAGCATGCATGGCCCAGCCCAACAAAGTGACATTTATGTCAGAACCAGCCTGCATAACAAATGAGTTTGACACCTCTGAGCTAAATAGAAAGGCTCTTACCTGATGTCTGGAGCCTTGACCGGAGTGAGCTTGCTCGCCGTGTCCAAGGGGAAGATTGTGATCGAATGCAGGGTTGAGCTGAGACTGACGAGTCTGTCTACAGAAAGAATACCCAGAGAAAATGGGTGTCAGGTTCAACAGCAAGGTTCCACACATGTTTCCAGGGAAGTGTTATGCTTTATTAGACTACAGGTCTGTTATCATATCCACAGGGTTATTGTTAGGAATGACAGTAGGGTGGAATCATCCCTACATATGAGGCAAATGGCTAAGCAAATGAAATCTGAGCACGCGGGGGCGGGAATTCTCCCAGTGGGAGGTTACATAATAAGCGAGAGAGTCTCAGTGCCCCATGAGAGCCGAAATATTCACACCAACGGTGGAACGCAAGCCCTCCCCCCATCACAAGGTCAGACAGATAACTCAGTCTGGCAGCACTGGTTCTCACGATCTTCCTATCACTGTTTACGGCAAGCGGGCAGAGCAGCAAGCAAGCTATGAGGCATGCGCCGTAGCGCCAAGGTCAGAGAAAGGAGCAAGCAAAACATGGCAGCTAGCTGATATCCTGCCCCCTCAAAAACACATTACCCACCTCCCGGGGCAGCCGGGAGACATAAGAACATAAAAGATGCCAATGTTGGATCAGGCCAAAGGCCCATCCAGTCCAACACTCTGTATCACACAGTGGCCAGAAATACCAGTGCCATCAGGAGGTCCACCAGTGGGGCCAGGATATTAGAAGCCCTCCAACTGTTGACCCCCCCCCAAGCACCAAGAAGACAGAGCATCACTCACCCCAGAGCCCCTATCTATACCTTGTGGCTCATAGCCACTGATGGACCTCTGCTCCATATGCTTATCTAATTCCCTTTTGAAGCCGTCCATGCTTGTAGCCTTGTAGCCGCCACCACTTCCTGTGGCAGTGAACTCCAAGTGTTAATCACTCTTTGGGTGAAGAAGTACTTCCTTTTATCTGGAGAGACCTCCCGGTTTCTCCGGGAACCGGTCGTGGAACTTCTGCAGGAGATTAGGGGCCTGCACATCCTTTCCCGCCACCCACTCCCGATGCTGGGGACCCCAATGTACCCATTCCACCAGATTATACAATTGTCCACGTTTCACTTTAGAGTCTAGAATGTTGGATATTTCGTAATGTTCCTCACCCTCCACCAGGATAGGAGGGGGCACTGTCGGTTCCGGGCGCCATGGATTAGTTGCTGGACTGGGCTTCAATAAACTAAAATGGAAAATTGGTTGGACATTCTTTAAGTTCTTAGGCATGTCCAATTCTACTGTTACGTCATTAATCAACCTTCCGAATGGAGTACCGCATTGAGGGAGGCGTGGCCGAAAATCTGTGAGACATTGGACATGGCCAAAGCCACCTACAAGCATCAGGCTGACAAGAAAAGGGAGGAGGGTTGGGTTCTGCAGCCTGGGGATTCTGTATATATGTCTACGAAAAATCTGTGGCTTTCCCAGTCTTGTTGGAAGTTGGCATGGAAATACACTGGCCCGTTTAAAGTTGTAAGGTTGAGCATTCTCTGACGGACAACTTTCCTTGTTTGAAAGTGCGGAGGAATGCCTCCACCTTTTCGAGGTCCACCAGTGGGGCCAGGACATTAGAAGCCCTCCCACTGTTGCCCCCCCCCAAGCACCAAGAAGACAGAGCATCACTTGCCCCAGAGCCCCTATCTATACCTTGTGGCTAATAGCCACTGATGGACCTCTGCTCCATATGCCTATCCAATTCCCTTTTAAAGCCATCCATGCTTGTAGCTGCCACCACTTCCTGTGGCAGTGACAGTGACAGTGGGTGAATACACTATAGGTTCCGGGAGTACCTGAACAGGCACCCCCAGCCCTGTAGCCACCCTGAGTCAATTAAGGCCCCCTCACCCTAATCTGGGTGCCCAGTTCTGGTTTCGCAACCGTCACAGTCACATAAAACAAAGGCGGGGAAGCTCTCATCGAACTTGGCGCCTTGGACTTTCGGACCTGCAGCTTTGGCCCATGTAGGGATCGGGGCCTACAAGTCTCTGGGCCTTGCTCTGAGATCCTTCATGTCCTACCGAGGAAGCCGTAGTAGCGATGTCCCCATTGCCTTTGCTCATCACGTCAGTGGTGCGGAGGATCTAGGGTCCACAGTGCCTGACAGCACCCTCCCTGAAGCAAGCGGAGGGGAACCACCACACACGCCCATCAAGGTATCGCGAGAAGAGGAGCCACCCGCGGTTCCGGAGCCAGAAGGGGAGCCATTGCTGCGGCCGAGCAGACCGACTGACAGACTGGAGCAGTTCCAGGGCGACCCCGTTCCGGCACTCCGGCGTTCCCTGCAAGAGTGCCGGCCGCCAGCCTATTTACAGGACTATGTCACTTAGGCTGGTTTTGAAATATGGGGGGAGGGGTGTTGTGTCTGAGGACCGCCACTGCATGCACAGTCCCTAGCTTGGCTCCACAAACAATAGGGGCCAAGGATCCTGGGCCACCTTTAGTCCACCTACAGGGACTTTGGCGGGAGATTTAAACCCTCCAATGAGACTAGGGGTGTGTCTGGGGTGGGTGTATATAGCTGGCCCTTGCAGGCCAGTTGGTGTAAACGTGACCTGTCAGAGTCCGGTCCTCCATTCTTAGAACCCCCACTAATTAACAGTTGCCTTAATTTATATCCCCCCTTTCTCCTCAAGGGGGACCCAATGTGACTTGTATCATTCTCCTCCCTCTGGAGGAGTGTGGGTGTCATGGTTAAGAACAGTGGACTCTAATCTGGAGAACTGGATTAGATTCCCCACTCATCTTCTACCTGAAGCCTGCTGGGTGACCATGGGACAGTCACAGTTCTCTCAAAACTCTCTCAGCCGCACCTACTCACAAGATGCCTGTAGTGGGGAGAGGGAGGGAATGTGATTTGAGACTCCTTAAGGTAGAGAAAAGTTGGATGTGAAAACCTATTCTTCTTTTCCCTCTCCTCTATTGTATCATCACAACAACCCTGTGAAGTATGTCACCCAGTAAGCTTCCATGGCAAAGTAAGGATTTGAACCTGGGTATCCCAGATCCGAGCCCAGCACTTTGACCACTACACAAGCTCAGCTTCCATTGGGTATCTGGAGATAACCTGCTGGGCTGGGATACTTCAGTTCCTTTCACTTTTGGCCCCGGAACTCCTGTGATCATCCTGAAGCGAGTGGGCCATCTGAGATTCCTGGTTTTGTTTCCTGATGAGGTCTGCCTGCCACAAATGGACAAAGAGGAGGATCCTTTTATTATTACAGATGCATGGCAACATCAGCTGAGTGATTTGTTCTGTTATGATATTTGGTCTGGATCAGGGTCATATGGGCCGAGGGCAGATGGAATCCTTGTCTGGGGGCCCAAGTTGGCTCTGGGCTGAAGTGGTGAACAGGCAATTTCTTCTTCATGAATAGAAGAAACGAACCTGCAGCAAGAATTTGCTGCTGCTTGAAGTTTCCTCCTCTCCTTTCTCCTTAGCCCTCTAACACACATTTAATCAAAGGGAGAACCAGTATGGTGTAGTGGTTAAGTGCGCGGACTCTAATCTGGGAGAGCCGGGTTTGATTCCCCCACTCCTCCACTTGCACCTGGCTGGATGACCTTGGCAAGCCATAGTTCTGGTCAGAGCTGTCCTTGAAAAAAGACCAGTTTCTGTCAAGAGCTCTCTCAGCCCCACCTACCTCACAGGGGGTGTCTGTTGTGGGAAAGGAGTTTGTGAGGTGCTCTGAGACTCCTTTGGGTAGTGAAGGGCCATGGGGGTATGAATCCAATCTCCTCCTCTTCCTCCTCTTCTTCTTCTTTGTCCTCTTCTTCTTCTCCTCCTCTCACCCTTCTCCACTGGCAATTGCAATGACCATCCGCTCCCACTAGGATGCACCCTTTTCCCCCAAGGGCCACCTTAGCTCCTTTCTCTTCGCACCTCATATTACCGGGGGGGGGGGCATAAATAAAGCATTCTAGGATTTTATGGGGGGAAATTAATTGGTCAAAGTCTCCTTTGGCAGGAGTTCTACACTGGCACCCATCTTTGTGATTGAAAGGAAGCCCCGCCCCTGAAAGCCCATAGAAGGAGTCAAGTCCAAAGGTGGGCTTTCAGGTGGAGAGATATCTGCAAATTTTGTTACTGTTTCATTCCTCAGAACCACGTTCTGTGCACACAGAATAAAAACTCTTCAACATTTGACGGAGAGACACTTCCAGGAGCCAGCAGCTAAGCTAAGCCACGCCAGCTGATGGAGGGAGGAGGGGGAGACCTTGGCCTTTTCTCACAGGCACATCCACATGCACTAAAGGGAGGGGGGTGAGTCACAGACCTGCAACAGCCTGTCTTTTAAGAAAACAAGATTTTTTGAGGCAGTGGAGAGCAAAGAAGTACAGTGCCTGTTGTGAGGCTCCAAGGCAGGTAGGCTGTGGTACACATAGCTGGGCTCTGAGAAACGCAAGGATCCACGGCACTGCAGTCTCCCATTAAAGGAAGAGGCTGCAAGTGGGTGTTAACCACCGCTCCTGGCTAGGACGTAATATGCAGGATCTGCTTTTCCAACAAAGCTGCTGCCAATGATGAAGAAAGCTAGCACCTACAAAAGCATACACCACAACAAACATGAGACTAACATCACAACACCGGCTGCTCCTTTTAATGACCACAGTCAAGGTATCAAAGCAGAGGCTTCCGTCAAACAAAAGGCACTAAACAGGACAATTAGAAATATGCCCTTCTCTTCTGACCTGCTGGTGAGAGAGGCACCATACAAGATGCATTTTCACTCAACACTGCTCAGAGGACTGTCTCATCTTCGTGGACTTTTCTGCTCTTGCATGTCAGTCCAGACTTTACCAAAAATAATCCTGTATTGCTGTTATGTACTGAGCCTAAGTCATCCCTCAAGGTGTACCTGGAACTGGTTGAGTTTGTTACTCTAAAACAATAGCTCATCAGGATCCTGGAGTAGACCAATAAGTAGTGTAATGTAAATAGACTATCCCTGGGAGTGTGTGTGTGGGGGGTGGGGTGTTTGCATGCTTTATAAGCAGGGCTCATGCCTTGCTGTTTGTCTTTTTAGTATGCCTGAAATCACTTAATAAACTAGAGATGATTCACTGCAATGCATCCAGAACCCACTATTTAACACTGGTGATGAAGGTGGGATCCTGTTGAGCCAGCCCAGCACCCACCAGCACCGCACCGTGCACTGAGCTCCAGTGCCACGCGCATCGCATCACTCCTGGGACCATGGCTGCCGCTCCAGGACACTTTGACGCATTTGACGCTCCTGCAGAGGACTGGGACTCCTACGTCTCCCGTTTCGAGTTTTTCCTCGAGTCCTCCGAGATCACCGAGAACAAAAAGAAGCACACCATCTTATTCCGAGTCTGCTGCTGCTCGACCAAGATCACTTGTTCGCTGCTTGCACTAGCAGAACTCAGAAACACTGCATACAAGACAATTTTGGACTGGCTTAAGGAACACTTCTCACCAAAGCCCTCCATCATCACTGTTTCACACGAGGAACCAGGCGGCAGGGGAATCTATCACGGTCTACGTTACAGCCCTTTGAAGAGTCGCCAGACATTGCAACTTCCACAACCTTGAAGAAGCGCTCTGTGACCAGCTGGTGTGTGGACAAGCGGATCCAGCGAAAGCTCCTCACCAAGCAAGACCCCAAATTCAAGGAGGCCATGGAATTAGCCCTCGCTGTGGAAACTGCTGACAAGTTCACAGCGGAGGTCAGGCAGGCAAAATTCTTCGAGGAGGTTAACCACCATGGCCCACCACGTGGACGCCAAGGAGGAGGAAGAAGAGGTCCTGCAACTACAGTGACCAGCCCACCTTGCCACTTGCCCCTCCACTTCTCCACGTGCTGTTGAAGCCGCCACATTGACGCCATGTGCCAAGCTGCAGGGAACACCACGAGAGGAAATCCTGCCAGTTCCGAGACGCTACATGTAGGAACTGCAGAAAGGTTGGCCACATCACCCGAGTCTGCTGTTCCAAGGGAAACTGGAGGTGACCTATGGCAACCTCAGCATCTATGCACACTGCAGAACTACACACCACCACTGTTCAGCAAACAACAGGTACTGAACTTGCCCCAGGACACCCCCGATAAAATTAAAGTGACTGTCTTAATTGAGTGAAACCCCTGCAAGATGGAGTTAGACACAGGGTCCTCCATCTCCATAATATTGGAGGACACCTTTAGGAGGCTCTGTCCAAGGGGGGCCCCTCATCTTAGACTGGTTGGTTTCATACTATGGGACTTCCAACAAAATGAAGTGGCAGTGAGAGGGGTGGGCAGTGCTGGAATTTTGATGGACTTTTGGACTTGCTGGTGGTGGGAGGCAGTCGCACGAGTCTCCTAGGACTAGCCTGGTTCACGCCCTTGGGGTTTCGAGTGAATGGGGTGCACCACGTGGCCACAAAAGACTTTCAGCGGGTGTGCGACGAGTTCCTGGCACTACACTCCAGTTCAACCCACTGTCTCCTTCCCGCCAAACCAGAGTTGCCCTCAGCAGTCACAGGAGACCGTGATGCAGGAATTCTGCAACCACACAGGAACCAGAGTCTGCAAGGGAGTTCCTGTCAGACAGCGCACAGCTGGATGGCTAAGGGGGTGCAATACTGGATCAGGTGGCCACGGACTTTCCTGATGTCACACCAGTGCTGCAGTCTCCCACCAGCACCGTGACAGCAATGTCGGACCAAGGTCAAGAGACTGTGATCCCTCAGATAGAGCCGCGACATCAACCCGTGAATGACGCAAACCAGCATACTTAACCTCCTCAGGAAAGCTCCTCCATTAGCATGTCTATAGCCTGGGGAACTCCTACAAGATAATGACTCAGCCCTACCCACCTTCTGGAGTAGATATAAATTTACTGCCTACCATTTTCTTCTCACCTTGACACAGAGAGTATTCCATCTTTCTGTGTTTATACCTCTGAGGATGCAAGTCACTGTCACTGGCAAAACGTCAGGTTCTACAATGCCAAGACCACGGCCACACATCCTGGAAAATCTACAGCAACTAATACTTAAGGGACTTTGTCTGTTAAGGAGTTTTGGAACTTAGGGGGGAGAGGTGTCATGTATTGAGCCTAAATCATCCCTCAAGGTGTACCTGGAATTGGTTGAGCTTGCTACTCTAAAACAATAGCTCACCAGGATCCTGGAGTAGACCAATAAGTAGTGTAATGTAAATAGTCTATCCTTGGGAGTGTGTGTGGGGCTCAAGCCTTGCTGTTTGTCTTTTTAGTATGCCTGAAATCACTTAATAAACTAGAGCTGATTCACTGCAATGCATCCAGAACCCACTATTTAACAATTGCCAAATGTGAAACCAAGGTAAGCCCAGAGAAAGCCAACTGCACCATAAAGCAATATGAATAATGAGGAGGGTGGAGAGAAGGGAGACAATTACCTCTAAGTGCTCCTGACTGGACCAAGAGCCTAATTCTGTCCTCCGAGAACCAAGGCCCAGCTCTACAGAGCGAACACGCTCAGCAAACTTGAGGGAGCAGAGGGTCTCACTTGTGTTCTTCTCAGTAGGAGATACCTGGAACCAAGAGGAAAATGCCCAAGTCATTATTTATTTATTTAAATCATTTTGATGCCACTTTTCCTCCCAACGTGGGGTCTCTAAGATGGCAAACAGTCAAAACATCACACGTTTTAAAAATATACACACACCAATTAAACACAACAATTAATGACACATGTATAAGAGAAGGAGGCTCATCAAGCGAACGACAGACAAAACAGAAAGTTTTCACCTGCTGGAGGAAAACAAAGGTAGAGGGAGGGAGGCACATATTCCTGGGGAGAGAACTGCCTAACTTTGGGGTCATAGCCAAGAACTCCTTCCTTAGGTTGCCATCTACATAGCCTCAGATGATGGCGGCACCTAGAGCAGGACCTCTGATGACCATATTGGAATCATGGATTGATGTGTTAGAATTTATGTGGGTAGAGTTGAGAAACTAGTGGAAAGTTTATCTTTTAGAATTTATTTTTGGGGTTTGGGTTTTTTTGGAACTATCCTTTTGGCTGAGGAACTAGTGGAGAATTTACCCTCGTAGGTTGAGGAATCTCTAATAAGAAGGTGAAATAAAGAAATGAACCTTGTTGCCTTAAAATCCTAACTGCAATAAAGTAGCTGAATAGTATTTTGGGTTGCATCTGATTCCTTTCAGATGGGATATTGTTTCTCTTACTCTGAGGTAAAAGATCTCTTGTAACAAAGTTAACTGGCTGGGTGACTCCATTGTTGGGATGACACAGGGAGAATGATTTTTCTCACTTACCATGAGACTTCCTTCTTGGTGGTCTTGGGGTGGGGCAGTCTCTAGTCTTTTATTTCTTTCCAGAGTTTTATTAAAGCACCTCTTATGGTATGTTGCTGGAAGTTAGTATGGATTTTTCCTTTTCCATACCAAATATATGCGTGCCATCCTATAACCAAGTCATGTCCTTCTAGGTTTAGCAGTCTTTTATTTTCTAGTATTGACCATTCTTTTATCCATCCCATTGCCGCACCCTTGTAATATAAGTTCCAATTTATTGATGTACAATGAATATGACCTGTAGACCACATCCATCTCACTGCAAAGGTATTCCGCTGTTGATTCTGTCATTGGGGCTATTGCTTCACTCAACTGTTGCTTCAGATTCTCTCCTTTAATTTCTGGGACCCCTTGAAACCGTAGGACTAAATTTCCTTTATCCATTTATAGCTGTAAAAGCTTTGACTCTTCCGTAGCTTGCTTCATTTCCAGCTTTTGCACCTTTTTCTTAACTTTTTTAGTAGTGAGTTCGAAAGCAAGAAATTGCAAGTAGATAAATAGGTACCACTTCAGTGGGAAGGTAACAGCGTTCCGTGCGCCTTGGTGTTTAGTCATGCCAGCCACATGACCACGGAAACGTCTTTGGACAGCGCTGGCTCTTCAGCTTTGAAACGGAGATGAGCACCGCAACCCTAGAGTCGGATTCGACTGGCTTTCGAGCAAGGGAACCTTTACCTTAACCTTTTACCATTTTCTTCACCTTTTCTCCCATTTGCTCTGTTGCTTTTAAGGATTGAGTCAGTTGCATCTGCTGCACTGCTACACTCTGTCCAATTATTGACAGTTGTTGTTTAATGCCAGTGATCTCATCCAGCAGGGGGTGCAGGGAGTCAGCCAAGAGTTTTGAGAGCTCAGTGACCTCATCCATTCGAGGACTGCTCCCTAGTTTCGGTTTCAACAGCTTCTCTATCTCCGGTTTCTTCCCCGCCATCTTTTTGGATTTGTTTACTTTTCAAAAAAGTTGCTAAAGTCTCTGATATTCGCCTGAACACTTTTCTGCGCTCTGGTAAGCCTCTTAAAACAGTTTTAGTCACTTATTTTACCGCTCCCCCCTCTTTCCTTCCATGTTCCGTCTATGCGTTTGGGACCCCTCCCCCACTCGCCTTCCCGTTGCTCTTTAGGGGGGGCAGCTTCTTTTTATATCTTCATGCTCGCTTCAACCAGACTCACAGTTAGTTGTTGGCCATTTGGCCTTGTTCATCATCATTTATTTCGCCCAATCTCCAATGCTTGTCCCGGTCAGCAGCACTCGTACCATGCGGTCACTCAGCAGCAGGACCTTCAGGACGGAGGGGCGCCTCAATTCTCCAGCTTTCAGCCATCGAAGAGGTCGCCCCTCAAAAGCCCCCTGGCTGGGAGCCTTTTACCAGGCTGGGATCCCCTCCCACATGCTGGTGTGCAGTTTACATCCCCAGGACGTCCAGGAGATGTGTCTGCCTGCGTGTCACTATAAACCGGAAGCTCCACTTTTTGTTTTTCATTACACTTTTTAGTATTCCATTTAAGCAGAGATTCTTTTATTGACTGTATGTTTTGTGGGCCTTGTAAAAGTCTTCTATTATACTTTTTAAGTCTTGTATATTAAATTTTTCTTCTTCTTTCTCATTTCTTAAGTTTAATTAGCTTCTTTTCTCTTTCTTTTCTTAGTTTATATGCTAGCCATCTGGATGGTTTGTTTGCATTTTCAAAATAAATAATTCCATGTTTTTAGCAATCTCTTGTGATAATAATAGGTTCATTTGGTGTTGTAATAATCTTAGTTTTAATTTTATTTCTTCTGATTCATTATTTCTCTTCATTTTATCTTCTTCTTCTTTAATTTGTTTTCCCAGATAGTTATATTGCGTTTTCTTTTGTTTTTTCTTCCACACATCCTGATTGATGAACCATCCTCTTATATAAGTTTTAAATGTTTCCAATATTATTTCCATTGAAATATCTGGTTGGATATTTATTTTAAAAAACTCTTGAATTTCTATTTTAGTTTTTTTTTTTTTAACAAATTGTTGGTCACGTAGTACATTTTTATTCATGGACTATCTTATCTTTTTCTGCATTCCCTGAAGCGTTAGTAATAGCGGACTGTGATCTGCAAATGTATTTGGTAGTATCTCCATTTCTATTATTTCATTGACCATTGATATTGATATCCATATGATTATAGTTTCTAACTCGCCATGCATCTATTATACTTTGTTCATTTGCTAATTCAAAACTTTTTTTGGTGAGGTATTTCCATGTCTCTTACTTTTAGACTGTTTCTTTCTGTCCATTTCTACATCAAATACTGCATTGTAGTCCCCTAAAATACATATCTCATCAAATTTTTGTTTAGCCAGTGTTTCTTGAAGTGATTTTAAAAAATTTCCTTGGTTTTGGTTGGGGGCATAGATATTTACAATTAACGTCCTTTTACTCTGTCTTGCGATGGTAACTGCAATGGTTCTTCTAACCCTGTGATAAGCATTCTTTGACATATATAGCTACACCCTTTTTCTTATTTAAGAATACAAGAACTCGTGGGCACTCCATGAAACTGCAGAGCGGTCGGGTTAGAACGGATAAAAGGAAGTACTTCTTCACCCAAAGAGTGATTAACACATGGAATTCACTGCCACAGGAAGTGGTGGGTGCTACAAGCATGGACAGCTTCAAAAGGGAATTAGATAAGCATATGGAGCAGAGGTCCATCAGTGGCTATTAGCCACAAGGTATAGCTAGGGGCTCTGGGGCAAGTGATGCTCTGTCTTCTTGGTGCTTGGGGGGGGTCAACAGTGGGAGGGCTTCTAATGTCCTGGCCCCACTGCTGGACCTCCTGATGGCACTGGTATTTCTGGCCACTGTGTGACACAGAGTGTTGGACTGGATGGGCCTTTGGCCTGATCCAACATTGGCGTCTCTTATGTTCTTATGTTCTTAAGTCAGCAGCAAAAATACCTTTCCTATTTTTTGCTGTTAAATACTTTGTATCTTCTTTCTTAATGTGAGTTTCTTGTATACAAGTTATATCTGGTTTAAGTTTGTTTATTTGGTGAAATGTTCTATTTCTTTTTGGGGGCTATTAAGTCCATTCACATTGACCGAGAGTATCTTGAGTTTATTCATTGTCTCCATCTTTATTTACATTTCTTCTTGTCTTTTCTCTGTATTGGTATCTTGTGAGTATTTGTGAGGGGGTTAAGTTTGTTCTTTTTTTTCCCTTTAGCGCATCCTTTCTTTTTAGCTTCTTCTGCTTTTGGGTCATTTGTTTCTTCCTCATTTTCACTTTCCTCTTCTTCTTCTCCTTGCCATCCTAAGTTTTCTCCAAACCTTTCCAGAAATTCTGTTACTTTAAATATAGAATAAATTTTATGCCTTCTGCCTTGGTAGTTGAATAATATTCCTTCTGGAAATAACCATCTATATGAAATTTCATTTGACTGTAACAGATTGGTTAATACAGAGTAATTTTGCCTTTTCCCCCTAACCCTCCATGGCACATCTTTTAACATTTTTATCTCTTTATCTTGAATAATCACTTTAGTGTAATTTGAGGCTTTAAGTATTTTATCTCTCATGTATCATTAAATTTAATGTGGACCTCCCTAGGTATTTTATTTCCTTGCATAAGAGGTATTTTTCCTATAGATAGCTTCTATCTCACATTCCAGCTCTTCATAGGCATTGTTTAAAGAAACCCCACCGCTTGGCCATAGGCCGGGAGTGGGTGGGAACACACAACAGAGTCCAAAAAGAAATAAATCCGTAGAAACAAAGTCCTTTCACTTAACAAGAATAAACAAGAAGAAAAATGAAGAAACTTCAAAGAAAACGGGGAATAGGCCTAAAAGCCCAAATTTTTAACCAACCAAAGTGGAGAAGATCCTACCAGCGCAGTGGTCAGAAGAAAACTGGTGGGATTGTCATGCCCCTCCCTTGGTCATGCGCAGTGGGGCTGGCGTGTAACTGGGGAGCAGGCGCAAAAATCCCTTTCGCTTTCAAGAGGAACCGATCGAGGTCGGCACAGGTGCACTATATTCCAGAGGTGTGATGCACAGAGATCACAAAGAAGATCCTCTGCTTGGGAATGCCAGGTGAGCGCCTATATCAATGTCAGAACCTTCTCTTGTCTCTCAAGATATGAACACTCTGTCTCAAACCATGTCTATGGTTACCTCCAGGTGGAGAACCATCTGGGCTGGGAACAAGCAGCTTTCCCCCCCGTTGATGATGAATACATGATCTTGCAGGCAAGATATGATTAGATCCACATCCATTATACCCTGCTGAAAAGAGGGTGACCTGATTAAGATGTCGCTTAGGTATGGGAAGATGGAAACTCCCTGCATTCTCAGATGCGTCACCAGTGAGACTAGAACTTTGGTAAACACTCGGTGCCATCTGGAGGCCAAAAGGAAGAGCACAGTACTGGAAATGCAGCCTGTTGTAATAGAAGTGCAGGAACCTCCAACGGGATCCCTGAATTGGGATATGCAAGTAAGCCTCTGACTGATCTATCGACGCCAGGAAGTCTCCCTTCTGAATCGATAAGAACTTCTTCCTGATTTGTCTGTTTAGCCATTTCAGTTCAAAAATGGCCCTCACATCCCCATTCTTTTTTGGAACTATAAAGATTGAGTAGACTTTTGGGCCTCTGGAACTGGCTCTATTGCTCCAATGTCCAGTAGATGTCGTGTGTCCTGAAAAACAAAAAAGTGCTTCCTTGGGCAATGATTCCTTGAGATGTGTATGAATCTGGTAGGAGGAGTGGAGTACAATTCTAGAGAGCAGCCATTCATGACCATATACAGAGCCAACCTGTCACCCACTGTCGCCTCTCAATGGTCTGCAAACAGCTGAAGTCATCCTCCTATACTTGGTGAGTCTGTCCCTGTAGTAGTCATGCCGAAGGGTTCTTCTGGGGACTCCATGGGCTCTGATCTGCTGGTCTATGGAAGGATGAGCTAGCTCCGCTTGACTGTTTATTTATTTATTTATTTATTACTTCGATTTGATATACCGCCCTAACCCCCTTGGGGGTCTCTGGGCGGTTTACATGGGGAGGTGCTAATCACATTAAACCCTAACTAAGGCCACATTGATTCTATGGGTGGGGCTGCCTACCAGCGTCCAGGTGGAGGCTGATGTCTCTTCGGCCCGGCTGTTCTTTTCTTGGCTCCATTCCCGGCAGCTAGGTGTTCCTTCTGGTGCTTAGGCAGTCAGGCGGTCTGGTACACAGTTGACGTCTGGCTGCGTCCCTCAGGCTCCACCGCGCCCTTGGATGACGTCGCTGTGCTTCCGCCTCTGCTGATGAAAGCCGCCTGCTGTTTCTGCCGCTAGCCACCAGGGATCACTCCTTTCGGCTCTGCTGCTACTGCTTGCTGCCGCCTCGTCACCATGCCGCCACCGCCGGTATTCTGCTGCAGCCGATGTCCTGCTTCAGCTGCCGCCGGCGCTGGCGCCTTCCACACACCTCCGTAGAGGAGGGTGCCCCCTACCCTTCTAAGGGTAGGTTCCCATTTATCTACTCGCCGTCAGTTACTTCAGCTTTCGAACCGCTGGGTGGGCGGGAGCTAGGACTAGGGTCGAGAGCTCACCCCGACCGCGGTGGGACTCGAACAACCATAGTGGCTGCTCGAGTGTTGTTAAAGCAGGCGTTTTACCGCCTGTGCCACCGCTTTACTCCCTTTACTAGGTTTTGAAGGTCAAAAACCAAAAGCATGCTTGGGGCCACAAAAGGCATGGAGGCATTTCTTTGGCTTGTGTTCCCTCTTATGTGAAGGCAAAGACCTCTTTGTCTTAAATCAGGTATCTGTCCATTCCTTCACCAAAAAGATGAATCCCTTTAGCCACCTAAGCTTGGGAGGATGGGTCCACTTCCAGTTACAGAACCAGGTGCTATGTCTGGCCATAACACTGGGTGTCATAGAATCATAGAGTTGGAAGGCACCTTCAGGGTCATCTAGTCCAACCCCCTGCACAATGCAGGAAATTCACAAATACCTCCCCCTCCACACCTCCACTGTTCCACGCCTGGAAGATGACCAAAATCCTCCAGGATCCCTGGCCTAACCGGCCTGGAGAAAAATTGCTTCCTGACCCCGAAGTGGCAATCAGCATTTCCCTGGGTGTGTAAGAAAGGGCAACAAGAACTAAGTACTGAGGCAACCCTTCCTGCCCTCCCTTTCATGATCTGCCTAAGTTCCCAGAATCCACATTGCTCTCAGATGGCCATCTAGCCTCTGTTTGAAAACCTCCAAAGAAGGAGAGTGTACCACCTACCAAGGAAGCCTGTTCCACTGAGGAACCACTCTGTCAGGAAGTTCTTCCTAATGTTTAGCCAAAAACTCTTCTGATTTAATTTCAACTCGTTGATTCTGGTCCGACCATCTGGGGCAACAGAAAACAACTCCGCACTATCCTCTAGATGACAGCCCTTCAAGTACTTGAAGATGGTTATCATATCACCTCTCAGTTGATAGTTGTATCATGTCCTGTGATGATGCATCCACAGAAGAGGCTGCTGCAAGGGTAACTGATCTCCTTCAGTTCATCCTTGAGCTCCTTGGAGATGCTACTCCCTGCTGTCGAAAGATCTGAGGCCCATGAATAGACTGCCCATGAAGAGAGAGAGAGAGCTGTGGAGGCCCTGAGGGCAGTAGATGAAGTTTCGAAGTTCTTGCACAAGGACTGCTCAATCCTTCAATCACAAGGGTCTCTTGGAAGGCCATCAGCCTCTACTGGAATGACTGAGTTGGAACACAGGCTGGTGACAGGTTCGTCAACTAGTGGAAGCTTGAAGCGCTCAGCTGCCTCTGGTACCAAGGAGAAGAAACCAGAGATGATGGGATGGTTGGACTTGGATGTCCCACTCAGCTTTAACTACCTTGTCAAAGACAGTGGGAAAGAGGATCCCAAGGAGGGAACCCTCCTTATGGAAAAGTTTTGGCTGTGCCAGCTGGTCTGTTCTGATCAGGAGCTTCTGCCTCCTTGTTGTTAAAAGGAATTTCCAGGTTATGAAGAACCTTTGGAAGGAATTTAGTGAAGACCTCCTGCAGGATGAGAGGGGAACTAAGGGTTCTTCTTTATCTGATAGTTCTCCCTTCTCTTTTAGAGAGAAAGAGTCAGAGGAGCCAGCACCGAGGGTCAGGAGTTTGGGAGTGCTCCTGGATGCTTCCCTGACAATGGAGGCCCAGGTAGCAGCCAGTGTTCCCTCTAAGCTGAGTTAGCGTGAGCTAGCTCACAGTTTTTTAGCCTCCAGCTCACATATTTTTGTCTTAGCTCAGAAAGGATGGCTCCAGAGCAAACTAATTGATGCAGCAGCCAAATCGCTTGCTCACAACTTTAATGCCAGCAGCTCACAAAGTAGAATTTTTGCTCACAAGACTGCACAGTTTAGAGGGAACATTGGTAGCAGCCACTGCCAAGGCAGCCTTTTACCACCTTCGGCTGATTAGGCAGTTGGTCCCCTTCCTCAAACGCAATGATTTGGCTTCAGTGATCCATGCTATGGTCACCTCAAGGCTAGACTACTGTAATGCTCTCTACATGGGGCTGCCCTTGGGGCAACTCCGGAAGCTGCAGCTGGTGCAAAATGCGGCAGCCAGGCTGCTGATGGACCTCCCCAGGTGGGAGCACATCCAGCCTGTTCTGAAGTCATTGCACTGGCTTCCAATAGCGTTCTGGATTCGCTTCAAGATGCTGGTTTTGACCTTTAAAGCCCTAAATGGTCAGGGGCCTGCCTACCTGAGGGACCGCCTTTCCCCGTACGTTCCCCCGAGAGCACTGCAGTCTGGAACACAACACCACCTGGTTGGTGGTAACTAGGACCAGGGCACTCTCCCTGATGACACCAACGCTGTGGAACAAGCTCCCCAACGAGATTAGAGCGCTACAGGACCACGACCAGTTCTGTAAAAAGGTAAAGGTTCCCTTGCTTGAAAGCCAGTCGAATCCGACTCTAGGGTTGCGGTGCTCATCTCCGTTTCAAAGCCGAAGAGCCAGCGCTGTCCGAAGACATTTCCGTGGTCATGTGGCCGGCATGACTAAACGCCAAGGTGCACGGAACGCTGTTACCTTCCCACCGAAGTGGTACCTATTTATCTACTTGCAATTTCTTGCTTTCGAACTGCTAGGTTGGCAGGAGCTGGAACCAGAGATGGGAGCCCACCCCATCTTGCGGCCCCCGGGTCTTGAACTGCTGAACTACCGACCTTCCACAGCCTGCAGTTCAGCGTCTTAACCACTTGAGCCACCGCAGCTCCACCAGTTCTGTAGAGCTGTAAAAATGGAGCTGTTTTGCCAAGCGTTCCAATAAAAACTGATTGCTCCGGTGGGGCCGCACTAGCACTTTATTATAGGATGCCGCTGTATTTATTTATTTAGCCTAACTGTATTTATTGAAATTGTATGAATTGTATTTTATTTTGCCAATGTCGGAGGGGGGTTCTTCATCCTAGCCCCACTGCCAACATCCGTTGGGATGGGACGCAGGCTGGAAGAGGATTGAGCTTTTCTATTTCTCCGCCCCCTTCCCTTAATACTCTGCCTGCTCCCACCACTATACTTTCCAGGACCTTAGTCTCATCCAAGAAAACCTGAAGCTGTGTTGCCACTTCCCTCTTTACCGCTTTACCCAGGAATAGAAAGTTAGACACTGGGCAGTAGTTATTAAGGACTGTTAGGACCAAAGAAGGTTTTTTAAGCAGAGGGGGAACTACAGCCGCCTCCAGTAGTTCCCACATTCCTCATGGCCCAACACTTACGTGGACCATCATGAGTGTCTTGCTGTCACCAGTGAGAGAGTCCTGCAGGAGGTAAGTTAGTTTGGAGTTGCGGAATGGTACATGGCCTTGGCGAGAACGCAGAGCATAGATCACGTCACCCAACGCAAGGAGCGATTTGTTGATGTACTGAGCCTCACGCAGCCTGTTCCCCTCCGCACCAGATTTTCCCACTCGCTCAGAACCTGCCAGGTCTACCAAATTCAGCTTTCCTAGAAGAAAACAGAACATTACTGGGCATAGAGAGACAAGACAGTTCAGTGGAGCCACAATAACTACAATTTCTCTAAGATGCTCTGGTGAGATCAAGCTGTCTGAATGAGCCAGTCATCCCATTGCCTCGTGGGTTAGTAGAGCAAAGATTTAAGGGATTAAATTAGCATCAAAATCGCAGGAGATCATAGTCCCTCTGTATACTGCCTTGGTCAGGCCATACCTTGAGTACCGTGTGCAGTTCTGGAGGCCTCACTTCAAAAAGGATGTGGACAAAATCAAGAAGGTGCAGAAGAGAGAGGATGATGATCAGGGGTCTGGAGACTGGGCCCTACGAGGACAGGCTAAGGGCCCTGGGAATGTTTAGTTTGGAGAATAGGAGATTGAGGGGGGACATGATTGTTCTCTTTAAATATTTGAAAGGCTGTCATTTGGAGGAGGGCAAGGAGCTGTTCCAGTTGGCAGCAGAGGATAGGACCCGAAGCAACGGGTTTAAGCTACATGCAGAAAGGTATTGTCTGGATATTAGGAAGAACTTTTTCACGGTCAGAATGGTTCAAAGGTGGAGTCAGCTGCCTGGGGAGGTGGTGAGCTTCCCTTCATTGACAGCTTTCAAGAAGAGGCTGGACGAATATTTGTCAGAGATTCTTTAGGCTGGTCCTGCATTGGGCAGGAGGTTGGACTAGATGGTCTGTATGGCCCCTTCCCACTCTGTGATTCTATGGTTCTATTTCCACCCATCTCTAGCCTACTTGAGATACCAACCTGTGGTTTGTATTCCAGTGCTGTAGTTTACTCCCCTCACTGTGACAATTAGCAGGGCATGAGACCGTGAGCTGTGCTCATTTAGGTAGGTGCATTCAGTAGCTCGGTTGATGTGTCCAAATTCAAAGACCTGGGAGAAAGTCAGAGAGCTGGTTTCATTTACTCCCTTACCAAATGGAGCAACCCGTCTCTTGATGGGTTCCTCCTCAAACCTGTATCCCAAGCACTGGGCAACTTTTAGCAGATCATTTCCTTTTCAACCAGGCTCTCTTGGCATTGAAATATCAATGAAGGTTACAGTAAATGAAAACAACTTAACACCAAGACAGCCCCCCCCCAAAAGTGAGTACAATAAAATCTAATCCAAGTTTCACAGTACATGCAGAGAGCTTTTGATACAATGACATATGGTACTCAATCATACAGATACATATGGAGCTCTTTATTTACTTTTTCTTCTGAGTAACATCAAATTTACTAAAAGAAGCCAGTTGAGGCTAAAGCCATCCTGTCTAGTCTGCAAGATCCCAAACTAGAACCCCAATTGTAGGCCTTTCTTTGCCATCAATAGTGAATATCTCCTACTTTCTAACCTTATTAATATCTTCCAAGCAATGTACAGGAAACTCAGCCATGCCTGGCACATAGAGCTGTCCACTGCCATCTGGGCACAGTTTGATGTCCAGCTTCTCCTGAGGCACCTTTCCGAGCAAGTCTCTGAAAGAGAGAGACAGGGAGGGCAATGAATAATCCCCAGTGAAGCCAGCAAAGACATTGCTGTATAAAAGGGTAGCTTTACAAAAATATTTATGTGTACATAGCACGTAGGTCAGAGAGAGATGCAAGAAACTCTCAAACCTGACCAAATGAAGACAGTCAGAGGGAAGTATTTCAATCCTCCTTGTCTGACAAACCATGAGTGCACAACTACTGAGACACCAAATGACATTAAAGAGGCTGGGCAGGGGACAGAGAATGACTAACTGGAAGAGCGAAATAAGAAAGGAGACTCACAGAGCAAATCTCTCGCCTCAGCCAAAAGCCACAACGGAACTGTGTTGCTGAAATCCAAATGACTAGTCAGGTTAATCTAGAGCAGCCAAAACAACAGGACATGGATTCACTTTGGCAGATGGATTCATACATAAGCTTATACTACAATACATTTATTAGTCCTTAAGGTGCCACAAGACTCTTAGTTACTCTATCTGGTTGAGGGTGCGTCTGGAGACCCAGTTCCCTTTCTTTCCACCCATTCTTTCAGGTAGTTGATATGCAAAGTCTTAACTTGCCTCGCGGAGCATCCCCATTGGACTTTGTAAGTGAGGGGGCCCACAGCTCACACCACTTTGAATGGCCCCTGCCATGGGTCCCCTTTCCTGGGGCTTAGCGCCCTGCAAGACACTAGTACCTGGGCGAGTGGTTGTATCTGTTGGTCCTTTGTCCCCTGATCAGATTGTTCTTTATACTTCTCTTGTGCCCTCCAGGTTCTGTCCCACCAAAGCCATGGCTGCTTCCAACGGCTCTCGCAGGAGGCATACATGCTCATCTGCTTCATGATTTTCTTCAACCAGGTGCCTGGCCCATTGTCCTTCTACCAGACCAAGGGTGCCTCGGGGCACCCACCCATATATCAACTCGAATAGGGCACAGCCTATGGAAGTTTGGGGCATCTCATCTAAAGCCAGTAACAAGGAGCCTATATTTAAGTCCCATGATATCAGATGATTGTACGAAAACCATTGCAGCATCCCTGTCAACGTTTGATTCATTCACTCTATGAGGTCATTTATTTGTGGGTGGTAAGTGGCCATGTAGAGCTGTCAGATATGGAGGATGTCACACACTTTCTTCATGAGTCCGGCCATAAAAGGGGTCCCTTGATCCATCAATATTTCTCCCGGCAACCCTATGTGGGTGAAGACTCTTATGAGGGCCCGGGCGAGTCCCAGGCTCTTCATACTGGTTAGCAGTTCAGCCTCTGGGTAGTGTTTTACATAATCCATTGTGACCAACACAAATTGTGCCCCTCTTGGGGTGCGTGGAAATGGCCCTGTAAAACCCACAGCTATTCTCTCAAAAGGGGTGCCAATGCGGGGCCAAGGACAGACAGGGGCTCGGGAAGCCATCCTAGTGGATGTCCGCTGGCACACTGCGCACGACCGGCTGAATCGGGCGACATCCTTACATACTGAGGGCCAAAAGAAATCTTCACCCCTTGATGCCCTGCACATGCGTGTTCATGGGCCGTGTGCAGGACCTCCTCCCAGTACTTCTGGGGAACTGGCAACTGCCTGCGAACTCCCCCCAAGTGCTGGACTTCCCTGTACCAAACCCCTCCACTTGGGGCTATCCAGGCCCCCCACTGATTCAGGTGCTCATCTACCACCTGGTCCTCACTAACCACCATCCGGGCTCAAAGGACATCCAGGAAGCTGTCTTCCTCCTGTGCTTTTGTGAACTCAGGATCCTCATGCTAGTGTGGCAGGCCTTGATCCCTCTTGCTGGGCCCAGGTTATAGTTCTTCCTGTGGAGGGTATTCATCGTCAATCTCTGTCGCGGTCGGACCGGTCCACTGGCTGAGGTCTCCTGCTCGTTGCTCGACCGCCTCAGCAAAGCCTAGGGCATCTCTGCCCAGGAGCATGGGATATGGAAGAGCTTTCACATGGGCCATGGGCAGTAGGTGCATGGCCCCAGATACTGGATGGGGACTTGGAACATTGGGGACTGCTCCTCATGCCCGTGAAAACATTAAATGTTGCCTCCCGCACCCAAGTCATTCCCGTCGACATATAACCCTTGTGCACCATGGATATGGCGCTTCCGCTATCTAGAAGAGCTGGTACTTGTCATCCTGCTACAAGCATGGATAGCAGGAGAGGGGCCACCCAGTGCCTGATGTCCTTTGCTTGTAACATAGATTCCCACCCCGTGTCACATTCCATCAAGGGACAGTCATGGCAGAAGTGTCCCATCTGGCCGCACGTGTAACACGGGCCTGGTTCCACCACTCTAGGACCCATCACTCAAGGTTCTCCTGCCATTTTTTCACTGTTAGCTCCTTACACATTTCAGCACCTCTGGGGGCTGTGTTCTGTCACTGCCTGGCCCGTGGAGGTGGCTGCCATGGATACTTGAGGCCTATCTTTCCCTGTATTGGTTCCCTCAGCTGTTAAGAAATTCTCCCATACTTCCACCACTTCATCCAGTCCCTGTGGCCTCCAGCAAGCAATCCAATCTGTAGGAGCTGCTCTAGGACCACCTGTTCCACCACTTTTGTAGCATCTTCTGACCATGGTTGCAACCACCACATGGCTGTGTCTTTAAAGGTGGCTATCATGGGCCTTGGATGGTCCCCGGGGTGCCACCCTATCAAACAGAACTTCTTTCGAGATGTTTCCAGGGTGACAGCAAATCTAAGATGGCAGCTTTGATGGTATAATCCGAGGCATCTTCCTTAGATAGCACCTTCAGGGTGACCTGGGCCCCTCCTGTCAGATACGGACCCAAAATGAAAGGCCACTGGGCATGGGGCCAATGCACCACCTCTGCTGCTCTCTCGCAGGCTTCTAAATAAGCCTCAATATTATCCTCCCATCCCAACTTGGTGAGTGGTATCCATGAGCCTCTGGTCAGCCGGCCGCTGTCTGGGTGGGCTCCATCGACTGCCCCTGTGCCTCCCCCCCCCCGACGATTGTTGCAGGTCTCTCACTAAGGTGGCATTGGCAGTTTGCTGTTCTTGTGTAACATCCCACAACAATTCGGCATTGCATTCCACCAACCACTGCCCAAATTGATTCCAGTCCATGGCTCCTGAAGTCGCCACCACTGCCAAAGGCCATTCCTGAACCAATTCTTGACTTCCTTCTGAGCTGGACGATTCGTCTGAGGAACCAGGAGCCGGCAACTCCAGGGCGGGCGGGGCTGAGGGTTGCTGCAGGTGTGTTGGCTTGAGGGGTAGGGCAGACAAGGGAGAGGGCGCATCACCGAGACCACAATGCCCACATCCTCCACCACTTTCTCAGGCCACCGGGGCCCACTCACTGGGACTCCCCTCTCAGACGTGTGGAGACTCTGTAGAAGAGGGTACGGAAGCCTCAGAATATGGGAACTGTGAGGTTACTTCACCTCCTGCAGCTTACCCATGTGGCAGTTCTGCAGTGTATGCTCTCTCTTTCTCTCTCTTCTGTCAGCTCTCTGCCACTCTCTTCCTCCCCAGCTTCCGTGTTCTGTCCTTTTACTGTAGTTGCTCCCATCTCCCTTCCTCCCTTGTGGTTCCCTCCCCTGTCCATCTTCCCCTTTCCTCCTCCTATTGGTGATTTCTCTCCCCCTTTATCTGCCTGTTCCCACCCTCCTCCCTCATCCACACCCCACCCACCTGTCAGCCATTGCTCCCACAGCTTGTCAGGAGTCGTCTCCGCCTCTTGTGGCCTCTCCTTGCCAGGTTTTCCTGCAGTGCTCTCAGCTAAGTCGGGGAACCGGGCTTGCAATGGGTTCTTCTTTGCCCGGGCAGCCTGGTCCCATGGCCTCACTCTCACTGTCGTTCCAAGCCCCCCCCCCGGCTCAGTCCTTGCCTCGGGGTTCCCTGCCACTCGGCCCATTCCCACCCATAGGCCAGTGATACCGAGGCCCTCCAAGGTGAGGAACCCCTCGCCACGGTGCGGCGCAGTGGGGTTGTCACTAAGCCGGATGGGGAGGGGCTCAGGCCACAGCTGCCCAGTTCTCACCATGGTGCGGTGGTGCAGGCCATGGGGCCTGTGTCGAGCCATGGTGGGGCTGCAGCTGGGCTGACTGGGGTGGGCCCTGGGTGGCAGCCACCTGGTTCTTGCAGAGGCGCAGTGGTGCGGGCCATGGGGCTGGCGTCAGGCTGTGGCAGGGGTGTGGGTGGGCCCTGGGCCACAGACACTCAGTTCTCGCTGTAGCACAGTGGCACAGGCTGCGGGGCCAATGAGAGTTCCCGGCTCTGAGTCGGGACAGGAGCCCGTGGGAACTAATTGAATTGCTTTTATAACTAATCAAATGATTATAAATTGTTGAATTGATCATTTACATTTTATTTAGTGTTCAATTTTGGGTATTATTGATAGGAGTTGCTGGAAATTGAGGGGCTGGGGGCAATGCTCCCTCTGTTCAGTCTTATGAGCAAAAATTCGATTTTGTGAGCTACTAGCATTAAAGTTGTGAGAGTGATTTGGCTACTGCATAAATTAGTTTGCTCTGGAGCCGTCCTTCCTGAGCAAAGACAAAAATGTGTGAGCTGGAGGCTAAAAACTGAGCTAGATCACACTAATTCAGCTTAGAGGGAACACTGGCTGGGGTGTGGACTGAGAGATTGTTCAGTGTGGTAGTTGCTTAGTGGATTAGAACTGCCATAGTTCTTGCCCCTGGATGCCTAGTGGGCCCAGAATTGAGCCAATAGGATCTGATGGCTCACTCATGGATTGCTGCCTTGACGCGTTGAGGGGGCTTGCGTGGTTCAATGAGGCTGCGGGCTATGCTGTGGAGGGCCACCCAGGATGGACAAGCCACAGTGGGAACTCAGACAAAACATGATCCACTGGAGAAGGAAATGACAACCCACTCCAGTATCTTTGCCAAGAAAATCCCATGGACAGTAACAAAAGACTAAAAGATATGATGCCGGAAGATGAGCCTCTCAGGTCGGAAGGTGTCCAATATGCTACTGGGGAAGAGTAGAGGGCAACTACAAGTAACTC